GGGGGGGGGGGGGGGGAGGTTCAAGCATTCCTGTCGGTACCAAGAACAAAATGGGCAGGATTATTACTACTTTTTTTGTTATTTTCGTGGTTTCGCCGAGCACACTGGTGTTGATGTTCATTGATAGTGGACACGAAACTACATCTGGGAAAGAATCGCACTTCACATAACAGGAGCACAGATAAAGTAATTTTCCTTGTATTTCACTACATCTAAAACATTTAAGTAAAAGTGGAAGATTATAACGAAATTTTGTATAATTACGATGGAAAGTTTTATAATTTTAATCTTCTTTTAAAGTGGGGGCCACTGGACCTACAGAAATATAAATTAAATCTGAGTGATAACTCAGACGACAGATTCATAAGACAAATTAACATCGAACTCAGCTGAGTAGTTTCGGATATAAAATTTATGGACTGACGGACAGAGCCTGATTATGTCTTTATTTACGTGAGTCATAAGAAAATACAGAATTCTCACAAATACACCAGCAAATAAAACCTGACGTCGTAGATATTTATGTCGGTCAATAGGTAACTTTACATCGTTCAACAAATCGATCGGTAGGATGGAAGAACAGGCAGCCACCGAAAAGGATCAGAAAGCCATTCTCACATATTCCTCCCAATAATTTGCATTCGGTGTTAAAGTCACAATTAAAATCCTTAAAATACGCAATCATTTACATGTTTCTGTTATTTAATTATACTTAGGTCCAAATACACACTTGTACACTGTTTCCAAATGCCCTCAACCATTCATTTATCTTTACAGTGGCAAACAAGGTTTCACACCCATAAAATATAACACAGGACATGGTTTTGCTGTAAACTTATAGGTTGCCATCTTCAGAAATAAAATATATCATCGATTTATGGTAATAATGTGAAACACGTGTCAGACCTATTGAAAACAAATACGAAGTGATCACGGCCAATTAGATCGCAGCCCATAACCTCGCTGTTTAACGGGCAGTGGACCTAAATAGCTTCAACAGCCCACCAGGGCTTGTCATAACACAGCTCGGCTCTGCCTGTGTCGCCCAGAATAACTGCGATGCGAAGTGCGGACGGACCGCAATGAAGGTATGTCCGGTGTCCGCTACACCCAAACTTCGGACCTGTCGGCGTTCAGTCCAAATTATAAGACTGATGAAGCTAAGATGAGATTCGTAGGCATAAGAAGTAGGCCTACTTTACTATTTTATCATCTAGACCCAGGTACGGTAATGTAGGCTAAACTCATATGAAGGAATTTACGAAAACCAAGAATTCTTAACGCCGAAATTCAATTCCGGGACTTCCACCAAGAATTCTTAACGCCGAAATTCAAATCCGGGACTTCTAGAACAACTTCACCCCGACGTTCAGTCGAGCAATGGCGTTGGGATTTGTCTTTTCTCTCCACAAATTTGTCCAGACCGGTTCTGAGGCCAGTGAAGCCTCCTGTCCAGAGGGAATTTCATCTCCCCCCACCAAGAGCATAGTCGTCACGCACTTCTGTCTGATACCGACCTCGGAAAACCCTGTCTCAGTCATCAAAACGCCTTATATATGCGCTTGTAGTATTAATCCTAGACTTTTGACTTTCTTTAGCGAAATATCTCATATAAATATTACAAAATGGCAATAAAGTCCAGAAGATTGGCTACAATATCATATCAGGATAAGATCACGACGTATCTAGCGACCATTCAGAATTATCTTCAGTAACCAACGGCGGTCGAAACGGCTGGCCAGAGGCGAAAAGCTTATCTTTATCTCAATTCCTAAGAGAGAGAGCGAGAGAGAGGGCTCTCACCATCTCCCTTACCTTCACGTGTGATCGATTCTTACGAAATTTAACGACACTTTTTTCAACTGCGAGAACCTGAAAGCTTGATATAGATTATGTCGTGTGTATAACGCTAATTAACAAAACGTCATATGTCTTACAACCAACACTTGCTTAACTCAAGTAGGCCACGATCCTCTATCGAAATCCCTCATTTCTCACTATTCATAACTACCGCATTAATATTATAAAACGCCTGCAATTTTAAAAGTGTATTTGAATAACAAAAGAGTTTATAATTTCAGCAAAGCGTTAATAGCACAGAAGATATCGGTATAATTGCTGAGACTCATACTTTGTGTCCGAAAGTTCGTGCTTCGAAACTCGGACGAGCAGTATGTTATCCTCTGGGGTTTTGTGACTTTGATCATTCTCTTTACGAAAATGCTTCGGCAGTACCTTCAAGTCCCACAATCCTTAAACCTAACCGTTTATGAGCATCCCATTATTTTCCATATCACTTATAACTAAAAAACAGACTCTCACATAAACCGGGATTAAAACAAGTAATCCTTTCTGATTATATACAGCTATTCCCTCAGAAAAAAACACTCTAAATCAACAAATAAATTGATTTAATTAAAGTTTTTGGGGTTATTTTACCTTATAACACCGAAACTCGTCTAAATAATATTTATTAATTCAATCCGTACCGCAAAGAAAACACAAAACTTAAACATTACAGACAGCAACGGTTGAATGCTGTTTAAGGAAATGTTTGCCGTTTACACTGAAAATCATACGAAACCCTTAAGCATAAATAAAAGATTTAGAGATAATGATCGTTGAAGCAGGGACATATGCTTACCATTGGTCTTTAAAGAGTTGATCGCAATGTTTTAACTAATGTAACAGGACGAAAGACAGAGATCTATTTTAGCATACGTGTTCCACATCATAAGGACACAATTTTGCGTAAGGATGATGAGAAAATGAGGAGAAACAAAAAGAGGAGAGGTAATATTGTTTAAGTAAATTAAATATTTATATTGTGTAACATATTTTTCAAACTGAGAACCGCGAGACACTTCAGAGTAGAAGGTAACCTGAAAATGGTCATAAAAGTTAATATCCTGAATGTAAGTCTAAAACGTTACCACTACACAAATCGCCTCGTTAAAACTAATTGGAAAAAAATAACAGAAAGAGACAGAAATGTACTCGCACGTGTGACTCAGCTTCATGAAACGACTAAAAGGTTTAATGAACCGAAACGGGGCCTCAGTGTGAAAGTAGCCAACAAACATTCTCCAGCTTCCTTGTACTTAATTTTTCCAAAATTTCACATAAAATGTAGCTTTTATTTGTGATCAAGGTAGTGTGAAGTAGTGAAATGTATAAACAACAAAATAAATTCAAGGTTTTGTTCCAATCATACACGGTAACCTAAATGCCTTCATAGATTAGTCAGTAGTTCAATCTGTTCAGCCTACATTTACTTGATCAAACGATATTCATAGGTCTACCAGTCTCGTCTACATCGTGGTTTATCATAGCAAGCAAGGTTATAATTCCCACCCTCGTCTTCCCGTGGCTAAGCACGATATAAGAACGACGCCAAGACTAAAGTTGTTTATTTTGGAGTGAGACCGCAGAAACAAGCCGTAACCACGAATATCTGTCCTGGATTCGAGTCCGGGTGAAGACAGTTTATGTAGCTTGGCAACTACGCACGACAGGAAAATGAAATCAAGAAAGAAATTGTTTGTTTGAGTTGGGGAGATTACAGGAAAAATGATTATAAACCCAAAAATTGTAATGGACTTGAGTCGCGGTGAAAATTTTTGAATTTAGGAACAATAATTATCTTCTATGATATTCAGTTATACGTATGGAATGATCAGGCCTATTGTAAGATTTTCGACAGCAAATACTGATGCAGGCAGTGAGCATTTGCCACATTTTTTCCGAAAAAGCACTGCGGCCACTCGGCTAGTTTTTAAATATTTAGACACGCTCTAATCTGGCGGTTTATTTAACAAAGCTTCCTCAAATAAATAATTTATATTACATACTGTCAAATGGGAAGATGACTGTAAATAATAATTTGGGAAGGATTTGGAGGAATGCGGTAATGGCTTGTATTAAAGTACTGTTCCAAAATTTAACTGGGGGAAAATGACAAATAGCATTAGGATAACAAGTCTTTGGGAAGAAAAATTCGCAATTTGGACCCAGTAACTTTGTGTTCAGTACGTGTTTGTCTTTACTTCAGTTTCGGCAGGAAATTTAAGGTTATAATACGAGTTTTAGATAAAAAAAAAGGTATGTCCTATTAGAATCTCGAGTACAGTACACATGTTTCTGTGCTCAGAGATTCTTCTTACGTCACTGGTAATGTTAATTTACTTTGAATATATACCTGATAATAAAATGGTAAACTAATGACCACTACAAATATTACACTGCACAGACAGATTACTTTTCTCTTTATGATTCTAAATTATAGCAACATGAAAACATTTCTGAACAGAAGCCGCAGGTTTTAACGAGATCTATATTTCATGCTACGTGGCCTATCAAAGTTTTATATTAGCCGATTTGAACAAGTATAAGATTAAAAAATGTCTATCAATAAATTAAATGTGGAAAGTTCTTCACAGCGACTGAAGCTGTATTATTGCCCAACGTACTGACACAAAAATGACCGCCTGGCTCCAAAATCCAGTCTCCAGACCGCACCATAGCATCGTTTGCATTCCTTGCTAAGAGAGACGCTACCGTCAGAATTGAATTTCGATGTTCTGAGGTTATGCACGAACAGCGTACATGTTATTTGTGTTTGCAAGATACAAACTACACACTTAAGAAACGAGCGACTACCTTTCCTTCGGAGATTTGTCCATCTGTTAACTGTGCAGGGGGAGTATTGGGGGCGCTGTAGCACACTTTGATGTCCTCGTGTTCATGTGTCTGTTGCCCGTTGTCATGAAGTTGTTGCTGCGGACTGTTGTAGTCATTTGTCGCCATGGAGTTTCCAAGCGGTGAATGCTGGAACTCCAATGGGCGACGATATTCGACTGTGGGGCCCTCCAGCGTGAAGCTGGTGCACTTACACGATAACAAAACACTAACTAAACACGCTTCTTGTGTTTACGTGCGTCAGATGAGTGACGGAACGTTTGCATCCGAATTGTACGCGACTTACAAGTCATCAGATGTTACACGCTTAAAAGTAAATACATAGAATGGAAAATTATCAAGTTAAATCAAATAAATCGAGGTGTGGTTCCGACATTAAACACGATGAAACGCAACGAGGTAAGACAAAAGCATGCTACCTATTAGGTTTTTTCATAAGGAAACTAAAAATTAAAATGGTATCACTAAGAAATCTCAGAATGAGACAATTTTCTTAGTCTCCTTTCCTCAAATATTAATTCCGGCACGTAAAATCCAACTGGATTTATAATATTGGACCACATTTGACTCTCAAATGCACTCGTTTTTCTTCTTCAACTATCACACCAATCGCACTAGTTCTTAATAACAGAAACACTTCATTATCTTCAGCGATACCAACTTAATCGTTATCTCCCTAACAGAATACCCCCAAATCTTATGTTTTACAGCAAGAGACTTAATCTCACAAATTTCTTTAAAAAATGAACATAAATAAAACACGTCCACACACAGTGATTTTTTGTTGGCTTGCGTTAGTCGATCTCGCCTTGCCAGCGTCTACCAACAAACTGCTAGTTGAGTAGTCGGGAGAAAAAGGGAGTGAAAAAAGTAGGGATCAAGGGGGGGACGGAGAGGAGGGCGGGGGGCACAGAGGAAGAGCGAGGGGGAGGGGAAGGACGAGAATAACGCTTCTTTCTCGGTTGGTGGTTGCCGAAGCCGACCAGCCGGGCGTCCTAACCCCTCACGCTTGCTTTGGGAACTCTTTCTCTCTCTGGCTGGCTTGCCTGATCGTCTCTTATGCAACCAGTCCCCTAGCTAAAAAATGAGGGGGGAAAAAAGTTGGGGAGGCTTAGTAAAATAAAAAAAGAGAGTGTGTTGGACTCTCCCTCTCAGTTTTAGCTCTTCATCCTTCCCAGTCTCAGTTCTATCCATCCTTCCACTTAGCTCCGTGTCACCCTGAGGTTCCATTTTTGCCCCTTCATCGATCCATATTTCTTCCACGGATATTTCATCATTAATTTCTGTTTAAAATCATATTTTATATGATTATCTTGCTTTCTTATCCATCAATTCAATTGCATGATGACAAAATACGTTTGGTTGCTTGCCGTTGTGTCTTCTTCGGAAAGCTGAGTCACTGAAGTGAACAAGAAATTCCTCGCTGTTACCGTCTTCACAAAAGCTTGCCAGTGGACCCAATCCTGAGCCAGATGCTTGTATTCCTCACGGGTGTTACATGTTTTTGATTTAATCGCCCTAAACGGTATTAGCTGAATGTATAAAATATGAAGTTCCTCCTCACATCATAATTTCCTCAAAATATCTCCATTTCAGTGTCTAGACTCAAACCAGTGTCTGAAGGATGCAGCGAATAAATCAGCTGAGATAAATTGTCACTGATTATGTTCGCGGAATTTCTGCATTTATGACGGATAAATTGTCATGGAACAGTTGATTTCAATTTACATTCTGTAAGGAGCTATCCAACCACGACTTATATTCAAAGACAATATTAAAATGGATCTTAGGTAACGTGGCCCATTACAGTCGTCACGCTAGCTTGCATGTTTGGAACTCCAGGGTCAGTTAGAATCCCCCTAATATTTAAAGAGTTTAAAATTAAAGTTGCCACCGATGCTTAACTAAGCACCAAGTCAAGCAGACGTTCGGAGAGTGGAGGTATCGCTGGTACCTATTGGATAGGAGGCTGGATGGGTCACACAGCCGGTCTAGAAGTTGTGGCGAAGATAAAAATCCTCACATGCCAGGAATCGAACCCCGGTTGTCCAACCTGTAAGGCCGGTCACTATACTCACTGAGATAACAAGATTTATACTGATATGGGACATTTGGGAAGGATGACATATCAGTCGTGGGTGCTCGGATTTCGCTTACAGCTTGTCCCTCTTTGTCCCTCGAGGGCAGCTTCCCATAACGTAGGAAGTAAATTGGGTCACACAACCATTATGGAAGTGGTGTCAGATACTTGTCAAGAGTGGTTACATAACAGAATTTCAAAATTTATGTTCTTCGTCTAAGTTCTTATGGTTCTTAAACGTAGATGGGAAAGGTGGCTGTGAGATATAGGCCTACTCCTTACAGAGAAAACAGGACATTTTGGATCGGAAATATCGAAGGAAGAGGCCATTTCTAAGACGTATATGTAAATGACAACAGATCCAGGCTGTCAAGTGTTTATTTACAAAATAAGGCGTAAAAATTCAACTGAATATCAGTTGTTCAAGGAAGACCTCCGGATATATAAATATATGGATTGGACTGAACTGGCTCAATGTCGGGATCTTGTTGTGACACTGATGAACTTTTAACACAGCAACAGAGTCGTTCTTGAACAACAGAATATCAACTGCCCCGAGTAATACTTCAGTTTATCCGCTATTAACTTCGTCTTATTCCAGGATTGCAATACATTTTTCGTGCTGTAGTTAAGGATCTTCACACCGAACAATGTCTGTGTCTTGGGTGCAATCAGTCCACCCGCGTACTTTTACCCCTTATCTTCAACCCTCACCAACACGCACATTAAGTCCCTAAGGAACAAGATGGACCCCCAATAAAAAGTACTTCCAATCACGCTGGCGGGGGAGGGTGGTTTTTGTTTGGGAGGGGGAGGAAGGGAATGAATGAGAGAGATACAAAGGGGATGGAGAATATCAGACTAGGGGAGAAAGATTTTTAAAACTGGGGTGTAAAGAGGGGTGGATTTTTTAGGGTGCTTGTAAGGAGAAGACCATGAGTGTTGAGAAGACGGTGAAGTTCCTGAGGAAAATGATAAAGACGCTGACTCCAGTGCGCTGCATCTTTGGTCTGTTCTGGACTTACATTATTTAGCAACGCTGTTTCAGTTGCTAACGTTACGCCTATTAGCGTCGAATATTATGGGAAGATTGTCATACTTGATGAGTACGTAAGGATATTGAATGTGAAGGCTGTCGGTTTTAAGCAGCTACCAGTGTAATCACCCGGAGGGAGTAAAGAAAATTACAATTATGTCCGAATTTATAGAAATTACAACTCTGAAATGAAGAAAGCTGCGGATAGCGGCCAGTCTCGTCTTCTGTTTGAGTAGTATGTACAGCGAATCGTGAGGTCACCATTCGATACGAGGCTATGACCTGAAGAAGTGAAATGGGGTAATTAATCTGAGATCGAATATTCACTGTCAGTAGTTAACAGACGAGAACGAACTGGTAGGAAATGTACGTAAGCAGGGAGTTGTTGAAAGACGTCATAAGGAACAATAGTACGTATTGCACGACTTTTTGGGAAACGTTGGACCCCATCAGGATTGGTGGTATGGGGGACATGTGCAAAAGTGACGTTTTTCGTAGTCAATTTTATTTCCTAAAAAGGGTAGTTTGTTAGAAATGCACTCCACTCCCCAGATTTTTTTTCTGTAAGAATAGAAAAAGCGTTGAACGTCTCATTCATCACCAAAAGAACCGAATTCTCCCATTGACAATTCCCTTTCATTTGTAATTTCCGACCAGTTACACCGGTTTTTCTTTCTGGACATGCAAAGTCTAACTGTGGAATATTTTTCTGGAATAGACATTAACCCTCCCTTGGGGGGAGGGTAGGGGACGTAGACCACCTGACCGCCACACACACAACCTCAGGATAAAACAGTCCTAATTTCATGAAAGAACAAGAACAAGTAAAAAGTTGAATGTCGATACGAATCAAAAATAAACCGCCAAGGAAAGAGTTGGACGGTGGAAACAGGTACTGAAAACCGATGGGGGGGGGGGGCGACTGCGATTTAAAACAGGGGGCACGGAGGGGGCCTGTCTTACGCCGAGCGTGTGTTGGGCGCACGCAACCCATACGTGATTACAGACTCAAGTAATACCTTATTTTTTGCCTTAAATATAAGAATGAAAAAGTCGCAAAATGTGTCGAGGTTCTTGGAAAAGTAGTTTCATTACATGGACGTCGATGCAAGAAACAAAGACAGTGAGAAATGAAAGAAGAAAGAAAACACGGCAACCTCAACATTCTTCCTAGACACTTCGGAAGAGACGTAACACACACACACAGTGCCAGGTCTCGGCTATCTGTATTTCTACTCAAAGACCCAGATATATTGTCTCTCTTAAAGGCAGCAAATTCTGTTCTGAAGTGATTTCAATAGATCTGCTCCGTCTCCCATTATCTGTCGTTTGTCCCACATAACATATTCACTGCTACAAAACCTCGGCGCTTGATATATTCTCATAAAATAACTGAGTGAGTAACCAACAAACTAGTTTGAGCGTAAATAACATTGTAATATAAGAATGTGGTCAAATCGCCTCGCAGCAGCAGATTGCGCATGCTCAACCTTCCTTTCCTACTTAAGATATATGATGTAAACAGATGCAAGACCCAGTAGCTAATGGAGATACAGCTGTGATTATCTCATGATATACAATACATTACTTGTTTGTATGATTTTATTTGCTACTGTTAAGTTATGGAAACGCAGGTCCACGGTGTTTTAGTATTATCCATGCGTTTAAGTTCCCAGGTGGCAGCAATAAGCACTCTAAATTCGTAATACAAGGAAATATGACCCAGTGTCTGTCGTGTTGTACTTTTGTGTTATTTGTTCTCTCAATCTGGGAGAAGAAAAAAATTGTGATTATTTTCGAAAGAAGTTCTAAGGAAAATATATCATTAGGCTATAATAGAAATAGACAAACAGGAGAAGTGTAAAAATACACATTGATAAGTTCACATATGCTCTTTGAAACTAATATTATGGTTATTAAAAAAAATGAGTGAGACAGTTGGGACATGTATAAAGATGAAATAAATAAGTTGAAAGGATTAAAATCCTTGAAAGAAATAAAAGATACATCATAGGTGTGAAGATTATGCTAATGTGTACCTTAGATGCATAAAATATGATGTGCGATGGATTGAACTAGCTCAGAAAAGGGTCCATTTGCTCATTACTCTAATGGCAACTCTAAAAATTCGTGCTGTATAAAAAATACGAGGTATGTTCTTGCCTCCAAAATAACTACTTCACCACAAATTAATCAGAAAATGAAAATGTCACGCCAATGTCTGAAACTACCATTTCTTACTGTTGTAACGTCAATACTTTCATATTGTCTTTATTGGTAATGCCGGCGTGCGAAGTCTAGAATATTTCTAAAAAAAGTTAGCCTCAACGAAATAAAATGTCACTCCTTTCCTCTAACAAGAACATGTGCCACCAACTTTTCTTCAGACACTCTTCAATACATATGGCGGAGCTATCAAAAACTGTAAATTAATAATTATAAAATCCACTGGACCTTCTGCATATAATTTCGACTGTTGCAGATACAGATGTAATCTCCGTTAGAAAATTAAGTCTGTAGTGATGTGTTCATATCACGTTTAATGAAAATCCGTCATTTTGTTCAGGATTTGTCGAGTGCATACATGCGGATGTTATACAGCATGCCTAAATGTCATCGTCCGAACAGTTTCCTTTTTCTACCGTACTGTAAATGTTTAAAGGTACTAGACGTCATGAGCTGTAGACAGAATTCATGTACTGTGGATCTTGTGGT